TTTTTCTTTTTGCTTATGTGGTGCTGAGGAATCGAACCCAGGGCCTCGAGCATGCAAGGCAAGCGCTCTACCACTGAGCCACCTTCCCAGACCCTTAGCAATATTGTTTTAAGCAACCTGGCTTCTTTCAACAACAAGCCACCAGGCTCTAATCCTTAGTACGATGGTACATGCCTAGAATCCTAGCTATGTAAGAAGCAGAGACAAGAAGACCAACGTTCCAGGCCAGCCCAGGCAGGGAGCACCAGATTCTATTTGTAAAACAAAAAACAAAAGACCTGAGACATGGCTCATGGTAGAGCATTTGCAAACTTCAATCCTCACACACATACACACATTTGTCTTCTTGGAGAAGAAATGTAACCATGAGGAACCTACTACCTTGTCATAGGCTCTGAAATTTTTCTCAATGGAAAATCTAATGTTTCTTTGCTTCCCTATTCCCATAACAGCACATCACTTAGTAGAATAAAGTGGGTCCAAGAAACCTCCTTGTATCAATGAGTTTGTTTTCAGTACAGTGTTCCCTGAATGAAGAGTTAGTCAGTTTATCTTAGCTGTGCTTCTGGATGGAGAGTTGCATAAACTTTGTGAGTCTGTACCTTAGTGAGCTCTTAAAATGAGATCAGATAGAGCCAGCCATAAATTCATTTTTAAATGCATGACCTGTGCAAATAACTACTTTCATGTGGGTAGTTGGAGTCATCTGTTATCAACTGGTATTGGAAGGAGTTGGAGGTAAAGATTTCCTCTCAGGGTCCCAAACAAAAATACTTGTCATAAATGCTGTTGTCATAAAAAAAAATGACACACTATCAGGTACCTCAGGAAGGTAAGAACTACTCAGTATTTAAACAAAGTAGGTAAATTCTTGGAATTGATTATAAATTGGAAAATGCTGAGAAAATAAGAAGATAGGAAATCAACAAACAAGATTAGTAAGAACATGGAGGTTTCTATCTTCTCTAGGAAGTGTTTCTGGGGCCCGGGAGCCATGGCCACATCGCTGACGTTGAAAACAGGCCTGGAAAGAAAGATCTGGTTGTTAGATACCAGCATGAAACCATGTAGGATTATCCCCTTTGTTAAACCGAATTGATTAACAGAAAAGTCCAGGAATGAATCTGAGGGCAAATGGGCTTAAGACCAGCTAACTGAGAACTTCAGTTATGCAGGCAATGAGGCTGGCCTGGACACTTCTAGATCCGTAAGGCCATTATACTCTTCTACTCTAGAAATTTAACCATTATATATTGGACATTGTGTATGTTGAACATTGCATTAGGTATGGAAATGGGAAAATGATTGCTATTATTCCTGCCCTTAGATAGCTTCAACCTTCCAAGGGAATTATAAAAATAACAATATAAAACATGAAAATGTCTTAGTTATCTATAGAATTATAAAGACAAGCTAGAGAAAATAATTTAGGAGAAATTAACAAAGGCAGGAAGATATTCACATGTGACATATTTGGAAATTGGATTCTTTTGTTTCCTATAGGGTTTTGTGTTTGGTGCTAGTAGTAAGAAGATACATTGGGGATATCTTCTTTGGGAATGATAGAAACTCCATTTGAAAATAGCTAAAGCAAAACAAATGTATTAATTCAAACAACTGAAACATTCAGAGAGAAAGCTGGTTTTTATCATGGTGAAGTTGGGCTAAGATGAGGCTTAAGTTTTTCTTCTTGGCTGCCTCCACCTCCAGTGGAATGCATTACCTTTTGTGTTGGCAGGATGGATATGCAAAGTCACCTTATGTAAGCAATACTAGACCCAAAAGGGGGTCCATCAAGCAAAAAAAAAGTCTGTCTTGAATTATCACT